GTCTGCGGGGTCCCCCGGGCCAGCCCGGCCCCGCGCCCGTGTTTCGGAAAGGGAAAGGTCTCCGGGCGCCGCTGGGGCAGCGCGAGGCAGCCTGGGCCTGAGGGACTGCCCGGTGTGCGGGGCTCCAGCCGGCGGCGGCGGCTGGGAGGCGCGGCGGAAGGCGGCGTGCCCGGGGACGGGAGCTGGCTCCTCTCCTGCCGGAGCCGGGGCCGGGCAGTGCTGCCCTTCGCAGTTTCACGTGCCCGGGAGCTGCCCGCACCACCTTTCCCTTTCAGGCCCTTCTTTAAAGTCTTTTGTTCGGCTGCTCTATCTTTCTCCTCCGTGGTCCTGACAAACCTTCCCCGAGTCCGTGCTCCCCTTCTGCAAAGCAGAAGGTTCTTCGTGCCCGTAGTGGTTTGTGGCTTTCATCGCATCACACCCTTCTTTGTTTGCAAGACTCTTCGGTTTCCATCCCAGCTTATGAAGAACACTTGTCTTCGCTGCTCTGTCCTTTTCTGGTGTCTCCCCTGTCCTATCTATTGTCTCCTGTGCAGTTTCAAGATACAAAGGTGGGAGGGTCTGCTCTGCCAGTTTGCTGCCTGTAAAAAGGCGCTTGCTAGAAAATGTGTGCTCTTGTGTTTTCATGTGTGTTAGACCAAATTCATTGTGAAAACTCATACACCCTGCTATTGGTCTCCTCCGTACTCTTCCTTAAGATAACTGACTGTAATGCTTGGAGACCCCACCCCCCCAAAAAAAGCGCCACAGAAAAAAACCCACCTGGAAACTTGGCAGTGGTTAGGCAACTGGTATCCTGTGTCTGTTTATTATGCTGATCAGTTTCGGCTCATGGTTACCTGCTAGTCCTTTCATTGGTCTGCATATACCTCTGTCTTTTTACACTTAGGTTGCATGGTCCCTTGGGATTTTGTTGTAAAAAACATTTAGCAATACGGGGCTGGGATCTTTATGTTCTGCTGTATTGTGTGTAAACTTGGTGAAGTCTCATTTTTTTTTAGAACTTCATCTATGAATAAGCAACGATTGTGGACCTGAAATACATGTAGCATCTTTGAGTTAGGTTTCCTTTTAGGCTTTATGGGAGGCTTTCCACAGGAACAGAACACTTGTTCGTCTCTTCTATTAAATAAGTCCTTCTGTTAAATCCAAGAAGTACAACTCTTCTGCAAGTAATCATTGTGAAATAACTCAGAAAAACCCCATCATCATGATTATGTTAACATGAAAGTGCTGTATTTCAGAACTTTTCTTCTGGGAAGGATCCTGCTATTGACTGATGCCGAGGTGAAGTACTGGTCTATGTGGGACCACTGGTCTGACAGAGTAATGCGTGTGAGGCATTCAGCTTCTGTCATAATGCAGGTTTTAATCCAGAAGCATGAGGTGGACTTTTTTTAGAGGCCTCATGGATCTATAAAGGTGCACTGATACACTGGGAATTGAAGTATTCTTTCACTTAAAAGGAGGGTGCTAGGGAAAGGAGGGAGGGAGGGGAGTGCTGGTTTTGAAGAGGCTTTTGTGGAGGGAGTGATTTTTAGCAGCAGCTGTATTTCTGGTGGGTAAGTGTCAGTTGCTTGAGAAATCAGTTATTACAAACTAAATTCTGTTAAAATTGCTTTCTTGAAGAATGCCAAAATAATGAGGAATCAAATTAGCATGAATTATCTTAGTTTTGCTAATTTACAGATAATTCCTCCAGGTCAGTGTTCGTGTGCAGTATGCTGCAAGATGTCTTGACTTCAGGACTAGATGCTGTGCTAAGATTATAACACCACTTGCTCATTATAAAAACCAATTTGTGGTACTATATGAAAGTAGAGCTGTTTATCTTCAGTATTTCATGAAACATGCTTCTGGTTTGCTTGAACCATATACTTTGCTTCATAGTGATGTGTTCATTTAGACTAAAGTAAATTGTCATGTACGTTTGTAGTCCCTATAGTGAGTCTGTCTGTCTTAAGTGGTGGCTGTTTCATGAGGGAGCGCAAAGGCTGCTCTGTTGTTTGTACCATTCAGCTAGTATGAAGGAGGGAAGTGATTTGCTAGTTTCCTTCTATAACAGTCAGACACACTAATAACTGTCTGGAACAAAAATGCTACTAAGTATTACTTTAATGTAATTATCAAGATTATTTTTTTTTTTCCAAAATCAACATAAACCTGTTGATTTTGTTCTTTGATAATGTAGAAGGGCTCTCTGTTACTTGTTTAAATGTCAGAATTATGCTGGGGAGAGGTAGACTTAGGGCATACAAGCAGCTTGGTATTTTCTTACACTTGGTTTAGTTTAGTTTTTCAAGTTAAGTGCTGCTTTTACGCTAGTTTGCAGTGAGAACTTACAATGAGGTGAGAAATTCTGCTCTGAGGCTCTTAGTTGAGCTCAGAGGGTGAAATCCCAGTTCCGCTTGCAGTTGATTTAATTTACTTAGCACACTGATAAACAAAACTTTGATCCTAGAGATGCTTAATGTGTTTGTGAAGCTCAAATATTTGGTTGTCTTTGGAGGCTGATTTGATACCTTTAACTTTCAGAATAAAGGTTTTTCATGCACTGAGAAGAGTAGGCCTTTCCTTGGGTTCAACAAGCAGCCAGCAGGTACATTCTTTACAAATTCGTGTTAACACTGCTTAGGCTTTATTGCTTTGCAATCCTGTGAGGTAGGAATATCTTTCAAAGTTTTGAAATAATTGAGGGTGTCCATTGCATTTTCAGAAGTGACTTAATGTTTGCTTTCAAAGTATATTAGGTATCAAAAAACCCCATAAGCCATATTTGCAAAAATTTCATTTGAAGCTAAATTGAACTATATTGAACAGAGTTGATACCTGTAAGGCTCAATAGCAAACTTTAACTCTGCAGTAGAAAGAGCAATCATTCCAGTGTCAAGTTAGAAGCTGTAGATTGTTCTTGTTGCTCTTGGTTTGTTGTGCAATATTGGATGGAAATGTTTAAAAACAGAGAAAGCAAATCTGCAAATTCTGTCGCTGAAGGTTAAGCCATTCAAGGTAGAGATGAAGAATACAGTAAGTGTACCTTGTGATTAAGATGTTTGCTCTTCAGTTTGTTTGCCTTAGTACTGTCTGCATAGGTTGGTGCTTGTATACCAGGTTCTTCTAGATGAGAAGCTGCTTTAACTGCTGAAGTGCCAAGTGAGAAGGAAACTATAAAAGTTTGTTTCTTCCTGAAACACTGTGGTACTCTCCTGTAAGAAACTGCATTGAAAGCAAAATTTAGGTCAAGGTTCACTGATGTTTTATCAGATGTTTTTTGGGGGGTTGAGGGAAGAAAAAGGAGTAACCTGCTTGTGAGTCTCCATAATGCTATACCTTGGTCTGTCCTGTACAAAAGCCCCCTCAACTCTGTAGAGCTAATTGTGAAAGGCTAAGTGTCTTCTGGGTTTTTCTGCAATTCAGTCATAGCTTCTAGGTACATTAACTGTTTCCCAGAACAGGTAGATTCTTGCTTTAAAGGGTTGCAAGTTAGTCTCTTTGACACCTAAGGAGTAATTGACAGCCTAGTTTTTCTTAGTGGGTAGGTGAAATTTGGATAGCCTAATAGCCGAGGGATTTGTTGCTTTTCTGTTACAAGCCTTACCTGCATACAAGCCTACAGGTTGTCTTTTAGGCTAGCACAAGCCTACATTTCAGTATAGTGTTGCTGAAATGCATGAAGCTCTGATCAAAACTGGCTGAATTTTTTCTTTAATTTTGCAGCTATATAACTATTTGTGGCAAAGCACGTTGGATGCAGCGTCATTACAGTTGGTAAAGCTTTATTTTTTTTCTTTCAGTACATCATAGTTTTAATTATGCATTTGCTGTTTTCTCTGAATCTTAAATATGTAATAGGAAGAAATCTTAGGGCTCATAATAATGGGCATTTGAAAGGAATTTGTATGGGATTTTTCTGTATGACTACTAGGCTGTGCTTGAGGCAATGCATTTATTCCCACAAGTCAGATGTGAGTGGAAAGGATCGGAGTATGAACAACTGCATGAAGATATTAGAGTGACCACTTATCTTGAAAGTCCTTGAAGGCTGTGAGCACTGACTTCTTTATTGCCCATTTATATCTTTCTCTTAGCTGAGATGGATCTTGTTCAATTGGCAGTTAAACAAATGTTTGCAGTGTCATAGTGAACACTCTGAATGCCTCTATGGTTGCTATTTTCATTACTGCCAACATTAGACTTCATTCTTTTAGAATTCATGCCAAGAATAAATGTCCCAACTAGTTCCTTGTTACACTAAGAGGAGGAATGGTCTCCTGTGGTGATGAAAAGGAGCTGCTGCTGTTCGATGAGGGAGGGATATGGTGGGAATGGAATTACATGTTACTGCTCTACAAATTCTGTTCAGACATAGCCTAATGAGATAGTGTTTAATTTTTTTGGTAGAAGTTACATTAAAGTTACTGTTCTTTAAAAAAGATTACTTTCGGGAATCTTGTTGAAGTTGAGAACCACTCTTTGTGTTCTATTCTCCATCACACATTCTTCCTAAAATTTGCATCTAATCTGTTTTAACTGTATACAGGATAACTAAATTAGGGAGTTGTAATACTTGTCAAGACACCTTAAGTCTTATTGTTAATTCTTGTGTTCCCAGGGTAAGAACTCGCGTGTACTGAAAAGATAAGTTTCTTTAATTGATGGAAAACTTTGAGTAACTTGAACTCCGTTTATCTTGTTATATGAAGTAATTACCAGCCCTTCCATTAGAATGTGTTGAGAGAACCTGGTTCTACCCCGTGTTCTTTTGGGGGATCAGATTGCCTGATGATAACTCGGGAACTTTTGACTTGTGAACAAGCAGTTCTTTTCAGTCAAGAAAATAAACTTTTTAAAAAAAAAAAAAGAAAAAAGTGGGGAGAAACAAAGCAAGCCTTGATTCTGCAGTCAGATCCTTATGGCAGATCCTGTTAACTCAGTGGCCTTCTGTGAAGGTATAAAGGTCTATTCATGTAGATAGCATCGAAGGTTTGTGACCATTACTTGGAGGCAAATATCGGGGGGGGGGGGGGGGGAAATGAGACAACTGTGCGCTTGCCTGTGAAGAATTGACTTCCTTAGCACCCACAAAAAAGTCGATGATTCCTGTAGGAAACTAGTAGCTGCTGAGACTCTGAACTAGCAATCTGATGTGGATTGTTACATTCCCAGATTTCTGTCGTTGTTTCCGTTCAATGAAGTGGGTTGTGGAATAAGATGACTGATATTAAATATCTTTAGTGTTACACACCTCATCTTTTATCAGCTAGTTTGTTTCTCGGTTGCTGTACCTTTTATTTTTTCTCTAGTCAGCTGGGCCTTCCTGAGGTCAAACTAATATCTGATCATTTGTTTTCTTGCTCCTGCCAACTTTTTATTTTGTTCTTACCTCTGTTCCTCTCTTCCTATTTCTGGAAATTGAGTGGGAGACTCGTTGCCTTAGTTACAGTGACTAACTGTTTCAAAGTTATTTATAATGTTTGTGTTTAAATAACCTGTATCATAATATAAATCACAAAACATTTCACACCAATAAAAAAAATAAACAAAGCAGTCCATTGCTATGTGCTGGGAGCGTGCTTACGGTGCTGATTCTTGAGGGTTTTGTTTTCCTTCGTTGTTGGGGATGGAGGACAAGTTCTAATTGGCATTTGAAGATGAATCTGAAATAAGGTGTCTTGGTGTTATCCTTTGTGCAAATGAAGACAGACTCTTAATATTTAAGCTCCAAAATATCAAGGAATGTTATTCTTCCTCTCCTTTGTAACGACACTAGCACTCTCACCCAAGGGGTGGGAGTATACTATTTAACCATGTTAATTCAGTTGTGATTGCTCAGGTGTTGATGAATTATACAGCACTGACCCATTTCAGCACAAAAAATAGAGCTAATGCAAGAGTGATGGGACTGAGTAGCTGAGAGAGAAAGGAAGATGAGACTTGTAGCCAGCTGAGTGGGTGCAGAGAGTTAAAGAGGAAGCATCAGCAGTGATATGCAAATGAAAGAGGGGCAAAATAGTTTTCTGTAGCATCCTTGTAGATTGAGGAACTACTTGTTAGCTGAAGCACCTAATGGCTTCTCTCTTATAATAATGAGATGCTCTTTACTGTGAATGGAATATAATCTTACATTTTCATTGGTTATTTCTACAGTTATGTATGTATGTGAATTGAGTGAACAATACTACGTAAGTAGATTGTTGTTTACATCACTAAAGCCTACCTGTTTAGGGCAGCCTGAACACTTAAATGGCTTTCTCACTAAATTACCAAAACTATATTTGAATTCGAGAAGTGTAAAGCAAAGGTCTGCCTATTCTAAAACTGGGGTTTTGGGTAAAACAAGAAAAAAACCCCACTTTGCTTAATCTTGTGTTGTTAAACTTCAGAACTACGTTTACAGGGGTGGGTGGGGAAGCTTTCCTGCCCTAGAGTAGGAAAGAATGCCTCTTAATAGTAAACTGACTCATATTAGGAGAATTTAGTGAATGTTCAGGTTTTGTGGATAACTTCGCCTGTTTGCATGGGTTAGTCTATTTTTGACTGTCCTGAACTGTTGTGAAGCCATCCTAAATGTTTAATGTTTCCACACTTTCAAACAATGAACTGTCACTTAATGGCCTTCCTAATTCCAGCTGATGAGCATTTGCCTCAAGTTATTCTTGGTCATTCTGCAATCATGCAATCATACTTGAGGTTCATTCTCACTTTGTGCTGAAATCCTGTACTTCACTTCCATCCTGTGCAGAGAAGAAAGCATGGGTATACCTGGATTTTTTTTACTTTGGTAAAGTGAAGATAGAACAGTACCTTAATGAAGGAGGAGAAGGGGGCACAAGCAAGGATTCTAGTCAGCGTGACAAAATGAGAATGAAATTGCAGTAGTTAAAGCATTGAGGCCAAAATGAGCCTTTTTAGAGCTTACAGAATTTCTAGCAATTGTGAAGAATTCAGTGTTTTGTTTCAAGATTTTGCGGTTTGCCCTCTACATTTGGTAGCTCCATCTGTACTGGCACCTCTAACAGGGTGGAAGTTGAACCTTCCGTTCAGGAACGTGGTCATCCAGTGGCAGGCGGCACAAGAGACCGAGGATATACCTAGCTCCTAGCTGAAGGACCTACTTGAGTCATAGACAGCTGAACTGGGTGGAAAAAAACCCATGTTCAGGAAGTTCTGTAGTTATTTATATACTAACATAATCTGTAACTAATGCATAATGTAGTCATTTAAATCCATCACTAGAGACTCAGTTTTGTATAATGTTAGGGGTAATTGGTATTCTCTCCTTCCCCATCCCATCTTTAGGTCATCTGCTTCTTCTGTCTACTGCTCACAACGGGCAGGTAGTCTATGCAAAGTTTTTCTTTTCATCCTGAGCACAGATGTCTCTTTCCTGCCTCAGATCCCTGCGTGGTGTCTGTTGATTTTTCTCTACTGCTGCTAATGCTTCATTCTCTCGCCAGCGTCACCCCACTAAGTATTGTTGGTAGGTCAAAATGAAGGAAAAGCACACATAAAATAAACAGATGAAGAAAACCAAAATGCTAACTTTATTTTTCTGGTTACGTTATTACTCATTGTTTTGAATTAGCAAAATGTCCCAAG